TCGTCGTCGTTCCACGTCGTTCCACGTCGTTCACGATGTGTCTCGACTTGACTCGACGTGACTGGTCAAGCGACCACATAAATGCACATGAGACACACTAAAAAATAAAATAGCCGTCGAGAAGTCTCAATAAAGACTTGTCCGAAGACAAGCGATGTGAATTTCAAAGAGTGATCATCGAGCGAATCAGTAAACAAAAATTTACAGCAGTAGTACAGTACTACTACAATAGTAATACGGTACTACTACAATAGTGCAGTACAAACCAAGGACTTTGTGAAAATTCTGCGACGCTCTCGTTGAAAGATTTAAGCTCGATTAAATGTCAATTCAAGCAAGAGAAATATTCGAAAACTAGACGTTTTTTCTTTTAATTAAAAGTTGCAAACTGCTGCGAGAAGGCGGAGAAATGCGTCGAATTAAAAGAAAAAAGCTCGAGGCGATCGGACGAATGTCGTATTCGTAAAAATACGCACAGCATTATCAAGTCTCTCCTCTCTTCAACATATTTTTTTTCATTTTCTTTCACTCGTCAAGCTTGTCAAGGAATATATTTGAAGTAGAGGAACAACGCATACACGCCGCAGCGAGTCTTTTGCTTGTACTTTATTCTTTTTCTTTCATGCCGAAATTCTCTTATTAAGATAAGAGGAAGAAAGAGGAAAAGTGATAAGGGAAAAGGGGTTGATAAAAAGAAAGAGGGAATGTCCCACGTTCGATTGATCGCAATGCGAACAGCGACAAATTTACGTGGACGCATTAACGGCGGGGAGCGCCGTTACAGGTGGCAATAGGGAGAGCCGTGAATGGTAGGAAGTGATTTATAAGGGTAACACCGAATTCGATCGTTGCACGTGCGCGGGCTCTCGTTTCGCCGGCCACCGCGCCCACTCCTTCTCTTTTTTTTTCCTATTTTTTTCGGGTGCAATTGCGTTTCGCGATTCATGGCCTCCAAAATTAGTGTTTGCGATGTCGCCACCGAGAAAAATTATTATCTCAATGCTTTCGTATACGAGAGAGAAAGAAAGAAAGAAAGAAAGAACGAGAGGGAGAGTGGGGATGGGACAGACACAGTATGGAAGGGTTCCATCGAGATTATGCGGACATAATGTGATCGAGACGAAAGATGGGAGAAAAACAATTCCGGAAATATTGAATACGTTAAATCGCGCGATAACGCGCGCACAGCTGCGCAATTTCTACGGTAAAGTGATTGGAGTTTCAGAAAATTACGTATTAATTGCGCGAATTCACCTGAATGAGAGAGATACATTCGAAAATGACTTCGTATTTTCGTGCGGCGAAGACTTAATTTGACACCGACATTGATCGCGACGAAAATATAACAGAAATATACTGATATGAGAATAAAGAGCCTTTCGAAAATAATGTTTATAAAGAATCACTGTATGACGATAATCTAAACGTTTTTCTTTCTTTTTCAAAGGAATGAGTTTTGTCTTACGTTTGTTCTCGATGCTTTTGTCATGAATTTTATAAAATCAGATAACATATCGAAATCTCACTAATCTCCTAATGTCTATTGACATTATTTTCCTATATAATTTCACGAAAAAGTTTAAGAAGCTAACAAAATATATAATTAAAAAAAAAACAAAATATCAAAATATTTATAAGTGACGACATCACTGAAAAATTTCCTACCAAGTGGTAGAAAAATCCAATGCTTTCAACAATTATAAATATCGATGTTATAAAAAAGATCTTAGAAAAGTAAATTATAAATTAATAATAATTACAGATAGCGTTTTATTCTTAAATACTTCATACAAGCTACACTGTGTGCTACGTTAAATTATTTATCTTTACTTGAATAATCGTTAATTGCTCGTTACGTCAGATACCATCAAATAATTATTTCAGTGACGTCGTCGACACTAAAATCTTTCAATGACGGTAAAATAACGGAAATACGCGTCAGAGAGTGAGTCGCATATGATGCAAAGCAAAACGCCAATACGCGTATGACGCAGAACACCGCGCGACTATATATTACTCGTATTTACCTTTCATCGTTTTATTCCCGGTGATTCAACTCCTTCCTCGAACGCGTCTTCCTCGAACTATCCCGAAGAAGGAATCGCGTCACATTGTCGTCTGCTCGCAATGCGACCACGAATAATTTCATCCGCTCCAACAACGACGCGTTGCATCGCGGTATACGCGTGTATATTACGAAAATATACGAAAACATCATGAGAGAGGTCCCTTTGTGTTGATACAAATTCGATGACTCACATCAATCATGGTACGAGAGAGACAGAGAGAAGTGAACATCGCGTGTACATAAACACACATACACCGGATGATCGGCTTGGTTGGTCCGCGTCATCGTCACCGCGCGACAGTCCTCGGACACCTAAAGCGCGTGCTAACATGTAATCGTCCGAATAACAATCATCTATAAAAACAAAGTATGCAGGTAAGGGAGGAGGAGGTAATACGTACGTGATACGTAATAAATAAGGAAATTAGACGGAGCTGGTTTTCGGTAAGGGCTTCAGTTTGGAAATCAGGTCACGTTGTTGCTCGTGATATTCTTGAAAGCACGGCACGATGCATAGATTGATTTGACATTCGGGACAATGATACTTGGTCTTCCTGCGGAGTATTCTGCCGTGGGCGTCTATTGTGTTCCAGCAATGATTGCAGCCCAAGGCGGGTCCCTCGCGCAACACCGGACAGTGACCTAAGCGTTGGTCACCGGTGCTCTCACGTGGCTCTCTGCTGCTGCTGGTCTACGAAAACGGGAGAAATCACGTTAAATTCACTATTACACTAATACACACACAAGCTTAGGCGAAAAATTCTTTTTCGTCTTTCATTCGTTATTTTTATATTCGATACAACAAAATCTTTATCGAACTAGGTGTTGAAAATTGAAGATTGTAACTTGATCAAATGAGACAAAAGAGCGTTAAGATTGAAATCGGTCGATTCGTCAAATCCCAATTGTTGATTCACATTCAGACACAGATCAATTTTTACCTGAGGTGACGATGAGCTTCGCCGCAACTCTGTCGTCTTGACCCTCAATCCTCCGCCACTACCTCCCGCGGATGTGCCGCTGCCACCTGGCTCGGAAACGGGAGTAGTTGGTGCGTCTTCGCATCCCTCTTCCTCTGTTTTGACGATGGGTGCCGGCTCGACCACTATCGAGGGGCTCGTGGTCCTGCCGGGGAACTCTGGATTCGAGTGCTGTCGGTGTATCCAGTAATTTCCGGATGTGCTCTGGTGTTGACTAGTGAGCAATGGATGCGAGTGCTGTTTCGTCAAGTAGGATGGCTGAGGCACCGTTAACAAATTCGTCGACGTCGATACTGTCAACAGGTTCTGATTGACCAGCATGGTGTGCGGCGGCGGTGATATACGCGACTCCTCCCAGTTCCTCGAGGTCTGAGGAAGATTCAAGGTCGGCGTAGCCACGTGAACCGAGGACGAGACGATGTGCGGCGAGCCCGTCGTCGTCTCGCTATCTGGCGACAGATGACTCGGCTCTTTCTTTACCCGTGGCTGTCGCATTAATAGTCGTGCCCTCTTCACCGGCGTCTGCTTGCAATGAAGAGCTATAATAATAGATTGACTTTAGATAGGAGTGCGTCGGAGTCGGATCGCTGTAGTGTTGCATATATATTGCAAATCATCTGCAAATATATGAAATATTAATCTTCATATCGCATAACAGATTGATGTTTTATATATTGAGTGATTACGACTTGGATATACAGTGTTAGCGATCTCGCGTTTCGAAAATAGTTGTTACATTAATGAGGGTCATTAAGCGAAGCAGATCGACGATCGTATCGATTAGTGGACGATTACAGACAAATTATTTATAATAAGAACAATCAATGCTCATATAATTGCTTCTTTCTTCATGAAATAAATAATTATATTCGCCGGCTAACACACAGAATCAATTTCATAACTCTGGATAAAGTCGACCATTCGTTTCACAGAGGAGAGATCAATGAGGGAAATCGGCGAAACAGGACTCCCATTCTGTTGCAAACTGTTAGAATAATTTTTATTCCTTCAGAATTACTTCTTAATCGTTTATATAAGGGGTATAAATGCTTCTTAACAGTGCAATTAACGACTATTTTATTGTTAAAGACTAATCTCTAATTTTAAACCATTCAAATATATATATATATATATATATATATATATATAATATATATATATATAATATATATATATATATATATATATAAATATATATATATGTGTATATATATATACTTCTGTTTTCGATCTTCGTAAGAAGCTAATTCATCTTCATTCTATAACCTATAACGGAAGGTTCCTCAATGTACACAGAAATGAATGAAGATGAAAAGTACAATCAAAATATTTCTTTAGGGATTCTCGCGCATGTTCGAGTCTCTTGCGTGTTCAATACATGCATTACGTTAGTGTTCGGGACGACTCGTCGAATATATGCAATAAACTGTACAACAAATAAAATATTATAACTGTAAATGTAAAATTAAAAACTTTTCAGCTATACATCATAAAACTTGTATTCCACTTTGATAATCGCAAAAACAATTATCCTTTCTTTCCGTTATACACGATAAAATCGGATTAGTTAATCACCTCTTTCATTGCGATTAAACGTAACAGAAGCGCAAATATTACACGATAAAAATATAATATTCGTACATACATATATAATTATATTCGTATACTTAAAACGCGCTATCTAAAGCTTTCTGACCATATTTTACGTTGAATCCGTAATTTACTTCGACAGCGACGGAACTACTCAGTCGACAAAGTTCGGATTAATTTTGGAAAATTTGAGTTACATCGAGTATAATTGTGTGCGTCCATTAGTATCATTATTTCGCGTACGTTATTCGTACGTATTACGTTGATGTAATTTTCCGGATTATTAACAGAAACGGACGGGAGGTAAACGGAATTTGCGGATACTTGAAAAGAAGCGACGATGAAATAATACTACTATAATGTACATAACAGACATATCTTAATTTCCCATGTGTATACATATATATAACGTAATAAAAAGCGAAAAAAGTCAAATAAACTCCCGTGCATAGAGGAAAACATATTCTAGAAAAAAAAAAGTCTATGACGGTTCTCATATATTTATCAACAAAGCAACAATTAATTCTTGTAATACATGTATTGTTGGATTATTCCATGTGTATGTGTGTATATGTGTGGACGTATGTGTGTGCATATTATTAGTCTCGTAGAATGTATCGACGCGGGTGCAAATACAAGACGACGCAGATATCTAGCTAATTTTGCGCCCTCATTATCTATTATGTACAAAAGTTATTACGAATTACACGATAGGCTACAATCAGTGCAACAGTATAGTATCACTATTATCAGTGCTGTACCCCCGACGTTCTAGTTTTCATCGTTGGGGAGCACTGCAATTGCACCAATTCTAGATTATACTGAAATCTTCGCTAACAAGATAGCTGCGACAATATATAACAAAAAAAAAATAATAATAAAGAAAGGACTAAACACAACTATCAATATTTTTACGAATATCTCGAAAGTTTCTGACAAGCAGAAATGAGCGAATGTTTAGCATGTCAGTACCATCATCGTTATGCATGTATGTAATCTTTGATCACCAAATATAAGTTCGCTTATTTATCACATTGTAAACATCATTTAGTTCAAGTCACTCAATTGCGAGTAGAAAAGAAAATGCGAGGACGAAAATATTTGATTAAGGAACACGTATAAAAAAGAAAAAAAGAAATAAAATTTAGTTTAGATAAAATAACATGTGACGTACAGGCTGTATCAAAGGTCGCGCAATTTTTTCTATATTACAAATATGATACTTTATATATATTCTCTCGGATAAACATTTTCCCGTTTACTTAACATAATAATAATAAATAAATAAATACTTGAAGAGTTTGCAACTAATTCTTTCCGAAGAGAAATTTGGTCCAGTGTTCTAGTCACTAAATTGTTTCAAAAAATTTGAAAGCTTGTCGTCAAATCGATTTATAATATTACACGTTAAAACGATGGCGAGACTAGTTATAATCTTTGACAAGATTTCGCGATGAGAAACAAGATTGAACTTACGCACGCACGTACACGCACACACACATACATACAAAATCGTAAAATCTTTCATAGTCGGGGAAAAAAGTGCGGGACGTCCGATAGATCCTGTACAATATACATACAAAACATACATCAACTTTATCATCGAGATCGAAACATACCGGGTCTACGAGTGTAGCCGAACACAAGAAGAATGTTCCAAGAACATAATCCGACATTTTGCAATCTCGACAACGACATCGTAACATTCGCCTGCGATTCTTCATTACTAAATAATCCTTCGCACCATAGAGAGGATAGTAGAAGGGCAGGAAGTTGAAGAGAGGAAGAAGGGAAGTAATACTTTTCAAGCTCGTCTATACAAGTGACTTTCCGGGTAGGATTCAGTTCACATAGCGTTATAATTAACGCCGTGCAGATTGATCGGCATCGTGGTGCTCGGTAAAGCATAGTCCGTGTGTCTACTATCGATGTAGCCGCTCAGCATCGTATGGGGACTGTGACTGGTCAGCATAGTGTGCGTGCTGTGTGTGTTGTGTGTGCTGTGCGGGGTCGTGGGTGGACCCATGGGCGTCGGGCTCTGCGAGTTTATGGGTTGCGCCGGAGGCGCCGGCGGTGGCGAGGAGTTAACCTCCTGCTTAACGCGGGACTTGAGACTTGGTCGATTGTTCGGGTAGCCGCGCTTTTTGTACTCGAGCCAGAGTGTCCGATTGTTTACGCCGTACATCCGTGCGGCCTTACAAAAGCCTATGCCGCCATAACGCACGGCATCGAGAGCACGTATAAAGTTCTCGTCCGCTTGTGGATTAGTCGAGCGTTTCCTCTTAATTGCAGTCTGCGGGCTGGCGCAAGGGCTCTGGCAGTTGCTCGGGCACTGCGTCGATGGCGAAGGCCCGCCCGATGACGTATGCTGCAACGTCCCGTGGGTGGAGGAGTTCGAATAGTTCGTCAAGGCGCAACTGGAACCAGTCGTGCTGGTACCAGAGTACTGTTCGCTGATGGTCGATGATGCCGTTATTTCGGGCGTCGTAAACGCCGATGACGCTTGGATCGACAGATTCGTTTGACACGAGGACAGAGCGAAACGTGGATATGTGTGCTCCATTATAGTCCATTGTAATCCTGTAGAACAGACCGATTGATCGTTGGTCAGAGCACAGGAATTATCAACCCGCTGGTAGTATATTTTGCGTTCACGGCAAAGATAAGTGTGATTAGATGAGAGAGAGAGAGAGAGAGAGAGAGAGAGAGAGAGAGAGATAGAGAGAGAGAGAGAGAGATAGATAGAGATAGATAGATAGATAGAGAGAGAGAGAGAGAGAGAGAGAGAGAGAGAGAGAGAGAGAGAAAGAGAGAGAGAGAGAGAGAGAGAGAGAGAGAGAGAGAGAGAGAGAGAGAGAGAGAGAGAGAGAGAGAGAGAGACTAACATCGGGCGTAATGTCGTCAAAGTACTATGAAATGAATGATGAGAAAGAGAAAATATGATGGCATTCGCGTTTCTGATCTCTATGCTTTTATTTGTATCGACATAAGACTATGCGATCGCGGAACTTCCATGCAAAATATCATTGATATATTCCTGTGATAAATATATATCATCCATCTATGTGACACATTGCGATTTCAACTTCAATCAGAAATACAATTTTCATACTATTATATTATGGCCAACGATAACCGGCTTATGAATAATAACGAACGATATTGGTATATCTATTCAATATAAAACAAAGCGAGATATATAAGTATATATATATATATATATGATTGTAGTCTAATATAAAAAACAAAATATAGTTTATTCTATAATATATAGAGGAAACAATACTAAGCTAAGTAAGCAAAAGAAAATTGTAAATATCGAAAAATAAAATTTGTGGAGAAACGATAATGAATCTATTAAATATGGAGTTGCGGCATGGCACAGATACATTTTTAAGCACATCATTATTTGGAATATTTAAATATGTGTACGGTTTGATTGTAATTTATTGGACAGAGTATAAGAGGTACACATACACACTTCGTTAATGTAAAAAATCCGATATGCTGTCCTTTCGGCAGCATCATACATTGTGTGCTATGTATCTGTGTACCATGGTGATCTTTCATGAGTGAAATAATCTCTTTTTTCTCTTGCACATTCGCATTATTGAAATATCAATTCCTGAAATTTCGCTCTATTTTCATGTCAAACGTCTGTTGATTCTTCTTGTGCAATACATTTAAACGCATCTGTGCCAGCATTTAATGTGTGTAAATATCGCTTGTCGACATGCAGTATAAATACCCACCACAATCAATATGCATAATTTATAATAACAATTATCAGAGATATTTGCTTAAAGGGAAGGTATCATGCAATTCCGAAGTTACAGAATCATTCTGCGCGCGTTTTTCTTTTGACAATGTATAAATACTTCACTAAGAAATTATATTAAAAATATAGCTAATGACTATCATAATTCTTTTATTTTTTAATCCTACTGCCGTTCGCACGGAACATATCTGATCAAATTAAAAATTATGTCTTCGAACTCTCTTCATACCTCTCGTAACGCGAGTATAATCTTCCAGATCACTAACACTGTATCTATTAATCTATTGTATAATCAGAAAAGAAATATAATTCGATTTATATCTCGTCAAAATAGAGAAATTCCTGCTATACAATGTATGTATCCTATTTTGGTGTATCTTTTGTTATTTTTAATCTGAATTTTGCAAAAACAAAAATTTAAACACCATACATTTTAATGAAGTATATGAGTACAGTGCAAAATCCTTCTCTTCCGATTTCAGTATATATACGATATGAAGTGATATCATTTTTGCATATATATACACTAAATTGTTTTATGTATGATTGCTTGTACTAACTCTTTATATTCTTATATCTTTGATATAAATTAATATCATTACAATTTATATGTTTATTTTATATATATAATTAAATTTGTTTTTTTCAAATCTTTAATATCAATTTGAAACACGTATCAACGATAAGCAACATGTTACAAATAGGCAAATTATAATCTTATACAAAAACGAAAAATGGAAAAAACATATAGTATTTAAAGAAAAAAACATATTTAAATATTTGCATCTAGATTTTAGAATTAGGAACTTTTAAATCATAACCATGTATGTAATTATGAGACATGCAATGTAAAAAAAAAAAAATAGAAATATTTGCGTTACTAGTATGTATGTACACATTATCTATTTTATATATTTACCTATTTTTTATATTATTATCTATTTTATATATTTTATTTAAGTGTACGCATGTCAAATATATATTTTAAATCATTATAATAAATAATGCTAACCAAATAACTAAATGTATTCATGAAGATACCTACTTGTGTGTTTATAAAATAGTGTAAATTATAAAATATCTTACCTTGGTGAACGGGTGGTTGTGAAGAAACAGGACTTTGTCCGATATTTCCTCCCGACTGTTGACTCACATCTTGAATAGAACCATCACTTTGGGCTGGTGTATTGGTGGAACTGTTTTCCATATTACTCATCTAAAATGTGTATACATGAGTTAAAATATCATTTACAATCGTAATATCGTTACAATATTGAGATACATCTAAAACATTATAAAATATTGCACACAAAATCTACTTACAATTGATATTTGATCTTCATCAATACTGCCTTGAGATTCTGTACTAGTGTTCACTGGTCGCCTTAGATTTTCTCCACTTTCTTGCGATACAATTAAAGGTTCGGGTTTGACGATATTAGTGGCCACTAATGTTATTTCATTAATGTCTTCAGGCTTATCACCAGAACCAGATGTTGAACCAGTAGAAGACTTTCTTAACCTTTTTCTACGGAATGAAGGAGATAACGGAGATGGGCTAGGTGAACAAGATTCACCACGATCTCCACCACCTGTTTCACTGCTACCACTTGGCCATTTTGTTAATGACGCTGTATGCATTTCTGCGAGTCCTTTTATCTTTAAGCTTTCTGCCGTCTATCAAACAAAGTATTATGCATAAAAATCTATATAATGCAATATAACTAGATTATTTAATCACTGGTAATCAGACAAGTATTCCTTACTTTTATAATAGATGGCAATTGATCTTGAGATATGTTTACTTCTCCATAATACATGAAGTCTACCATAATTTTGAGGTCCGAAAACTTGATATCCTTAAGTATAACAATAGGATGTTGACAAGGATTTACTGTAAACAGTGACTGAAAATATGTGCTGCATGCTGATAGCACAACTTTATGGGCCTGAAGGTGCCTGCCCTCAGCAGCAAGAGTAACATCCACCAGAGTCTCATTATTCAGCAAATTAGAGAAAACTGAGATAAAATTTGGTTGATGATTGTTCCACCGCAAACAGAACTGTTGCATAGACATTGTGACAAGCCGGACAACTTCTCTTGTAAACTTCAACTGCAATATAAAGTACAAATAAAGTTAATAGATGTTATATAAATCATAGTAAAAAAGAAATATAAATATCAGATGTAAATAGCATAATGATGAAACAATACTTAAACTGTTAAAAATGGATTATAAGGATAAGTATTTCTGGCCAAGTAACAATTTCTTGCTTTGGGCAATAAATGAAAGCGCATTGGGAAAGAAAATTGTACGAGGAAAAAAATTCTTATCCAAAAATAACTAATGCTAGTGAATGTTAAACGTTGTAAATAACGCGTAGACTTTCTCGACAAATATAACAAAATCACGATGACACAAGTGCGAAGTATCGACGGAAGATGATACATCGTTGTACCGTCGAGGAGCACAAACTTCAACGACGCTAACGATGTTTGGCGTGTATAAGATGCACGACGTAACAACAAACAACGCACACGACAGTGTTGGTCCAGAAAAACTTTCCCGTGATTTCGCGTGAGTCCAATTTTCGGACGTAGAATGACGATGATAACGATGACGAAGACGATGCTGATAATGACGATGACGACGATGATGATGCTAGTGAGGACATATGTGTGTGTGTGTGTGTGTGTGTGTGTGTGTGTGTGTGTGAGAGAGAGAGAGAGACAGAGAGAGAGAGAGAGAGAGAGAGAGAGAGAGAGAGAGAGAGAGAGAGAGAGAGAGGAAGAGAGAAAGACAAGAGAGAAGAATCGGTGGAGCGCTCACTTTGCAAAGCGATTCGTGTCGCGCGATTCCGTGTCGCAGGATCAGCGCGATGCAAACAACAAAGAGGCTGCCGGTGTTGTTCAAAAGGCAACACACCTCGTCACCGTGGTCGTAGTCGTCGTCGTCGTCGCGGCTACCACCATGGATCCCACGAAATTTTCCACAACAGACTGAGCGATGACGCTTGTGTAATTCGCGAGTGACGTCATGGGCGAGGGAGGATTTATACGTGATGCCGCTGTAGTAACGCCGGGGCACCACACGCGCGGTCGCGGATTTTGTCGCGCGTGTACAAGCACTCGCAACAATTGTCACACGTAGTGCGAGAGTATTGCGTGCGATCGAAAAATATACGCGAGATCTTATCAATGTGCGTCCTCACAAAATCTAACGTGATCAATATAGCGGCCGAGCGGCGTCGCCATCTGCCGAGCGATCCGCGCATACGCGAGCACGTACGATATTTCGAAATCGAGAAGCCGACGCGGACGGCTTTCCCGCTCTTAGAGCCGTATTCCGAGCGCGTAGCGAACGCCAAATATATCTGTTCGATACTTCGACCGAAACAACATTATACGACATCCGTACGAGAGAAGTGAAACTCAAAATAAAATGGCTGGGTTTAACCCCAAACGTGCGCGTGTCCAGAATAAAACCTTTTATCGGACGCATCGTACGTATCTTTCGATATACTTCAATATTTATCAGGTACGCGAACAAGTTACCACGAAAATTATACTAGAATTATTCAGAAACATGGCATTGTTCAAGCGTATGCATAATCTAAACGAATTACCTTCATTTCATCGATACTGAGCGTTCCGCCATTCGCGTGGGAAAGAGGAACGGTAACGTCGATTCGCGAGCGCGTCGATAAATCTCGAGAGCCGCACCAGCGATATACCGACTCTCGATATTCCCCGGCGATATCGAGACGCGCTAACTTCTCAGCGTCAGAGGTGCTACCGCAAGCGGACATCGCGCGAATCACGATCACGACGCCCTAACCTCGGCGCCGCCGCCGCCGCTGCCGCCGCCGCCGCCGCTCGTTGCTTCGCTCCGCGCCGCGCCGCGTCGCGCTCCGATCCGCGCGATGTCAGGCGTATCCTCCGCTTAGTGTGACCACAACGACGACATGCACACCCGCGAGTTTCCTCCTACTGCTGCGTCGTGCCGTTGATCAGCGGGGACTCGTGTCGTGGAGAAGGCAGAAGGTGCGTATCGACGTGGACGACACGGCGGGGGAATCGACCGGCCCTGACGAGCGAGCTGCAACGAGAGAGTGGTGCGAGTGAGCGGGTGAGCGAGCGCGTTACCGCGTCGTCGCGTGCACACACACTGTCCATCCACGTTCTAGTCCGTCCCGCTCTCGCGATCATTCCCGGATCACGCAGAGACCTCTCGTAATCGGGACAAAACGGACCAAGTCGTCGACGCGTGAGGTGCGTGAGTCGCGTGTTCGACGATCTCCTCGGTCTCGATGGAGTCTCATCGCTCGTTTGTTCAGCGATTCGTTTCTTATCGCGACCGGGACCAGTGAGCGCTTTTTGAGATCACTCACGGCGAGTCTCTCTCTCTCTCTCTCTCTTCGCGTGAACGCGTGCGCGCGCGCGTCTTGCTGTGCACGCACGAGGAATCTCGTGTCAGTCGACTTTGGTCTCGCGATGCGATATTTTCTCGCCACTAATTCACACACGCGTGTCTAAACCTTGCAGGTGCGCAGCAGTGTGTCTTCGACGAGAACAGAGCGAGTTGTTCTTGCCGCGAGCGATTAACATATGTACGAACACGTTCGAATCAGTGCCGCGAGATTAGCCGTGGTCGTGGGCACTCTGGAGAGTCCGCGAACCGGGACGGTTGATTCCCGGAATTGAAGAGGTGTGATATCTCGTGGTCGCGTCGCCGTCGTGGGATCGAGAATCTACCTGTATCATCCCATCCAAGCGTCCATCACCCACCATTCATCCCCGTCTGTACGTCGTCGCCGTTCATGTTCCCGAGATCTACGCTCATGTCGGGCAGCATACGCCACGCGGAATCGTGTGAGTGATCGATCTTACATCCTGCGTCCTGTAGGAGGAAGAAAGTTCGGAAGCGCGCTGCCACGTTTTTAGAACGCCGAGCGCGCCGCGCGCGCGACTGCTACGTCTTATGTGTCCCTCTCTCTTTCTCTCTCTCTCTCTCTCTCTCTCTCTCTCGTTCGTTCGTTCGCTCCTCGAGCTTCTGCATGCATGTATGTGTGCGTGCGTCATGCGTGGATTCGCCGACGCGAGATCGTTCGCGGATCGATAACGGGATTTTCGAACATCGTTCATGAACCGGTTCATCGTTCGCGGACGCGTCCTTAGCGACACACGGCCGCGGCCTTTTTCCCTCGAAGGGACGCGCCTTCGATTCGCGACACCTTTCGAAGGAACACACGCACGCAGGCAGAAGCATGCGACGCGTGGCTTAATAACGGTGCCACGAAGTAGGTGCGCGAGCGAGTATGCAATCCGACCACGTCGCATTACGGAAATTACGCGCGAAGAGCGAGCGGACGGCCAAGAATGACCTCCGTGTGTGCATCGTGTTTCTCTCACGTTGCAAAAAGTCACTCGTCGCGGCTCTCCTCCTGCGCGTGTGGAGATCTCTCTCCGATTCTGAAGATTAGAAATTCAAGCTCGATACGAAACCGCACGCACATTGCGCGCGAATTCCCTGCGTCGCGTTTCACGCACGACGACGACGACGGTGGTGGTACACGCCCTGCGAGGAGTATGCTGAAAAGGGCCGGAAGTAATCTCTTTTAATTTCAGGCGTAAACGGAATTCTGAATCGTGAACGCTAACGCTCGTTAAGGAAATTAAATGTCTCGTTTTGTCGGGTGTAGCCTCGGCCTGATAGCATCGTGCAGGCGCGTTCCATCAGGAGAATTAGAATTCGCAGGAAAGACCTCCGCGTGAGAAGGAGAGAGAGAGAGAGAGAGAGAGAGAGAGAGAGAGAGAGAGAGAGAGAGAGAGACGCAACGAGATGTTCGAGCTATATCAGAAACGTGTAGTTTCACTTCGGAATTCATCTCGGAAAAGTGTCCGCTTTCTGGAAAAAAACTTCCGCTGTTGTTCACTCGAGACTGCCACTTCACGTCTCAAGAAGTTATCGCGCATGCTACAGGGGAGACACATACACACACGCACGTGTGCCATTGTTGTTTACGCGTGGGTGTCCAACGTCGGGTTACTTCGCATTTTTGCTCTGCATTTACCGCTAAATATCGCCGTCCGGTTTGCGTCCGTATGCGTCTCTCTCTTGCTCGCGTTTGTTCGATCTTCTCCTGGGGAGAGAAGAATCCGCGAGTCAGATGACACTATTTGGAGTCGATTTCAGTAATTAATCGCGATTGTTATTCATCCGGGATCATGTCCTGTCTACTTCTAGGGGCGGCGGAAGTTTTTCACAAACGTAGAGATAGATAGATAGATAGGGAAAGGGGGGGGAGGGAATTGAAACTAGAGGGTAGAATATTGAAACACAGGCGAAGTCTCCGTCTGTGCGCGACAGATAGAATTGCAGCAGGCAATCAGGATCTGGGGGGCTCGGGTTGTATCGCGACGGTCGTTTAGGAACGGCCGTGAGATGCGTCGCGCTAAAATCGATCTATCGGAACCAGGTCAGCTCCTGGAGAGGTCTTCATCCCACGCTGCGCGCGACCGGCTAAAAAACGAGTTAAGCAAAATGGACTGAATGTGGTAACTCGGTTAAAAGTGGTCACGCTCCGTGAAGAGAGGGCGTAAGAAGTCCGGTGTTTTTGTCGCCGTAGTTTCCTTTAAATCGGCGAGGAGCGCGCGTGTGGCCGACGACGACGACGTTTTCGCGATCTTCGTTTCGCTTTGCGGAAGCGGAAGCTCGCGCTCGTGAATTCGCGAAGCGTGAAGCGTGTTGCGTTTTTAATCGTTCCCTCCGCGATTTGGAAGTAATTCAGCCGCGCGATATCCGCGGGCACGACGAACGACGGAGCTCCCGGGAGCTAATTCGGCGGTCGTTAACACCTCGGGGATTCTAGGACACGCTCGCTAGGACGATTCCGAATAACTCTCTTCTCATATCAGCGAATTCGAACAATGCTAATCGCAGAGCGGAAGCGCGCGACGACACAAACGCCGCGAAAATGTTTCGCGCCTCTCTCGGCGGCTGCTTTCTTCGTCACGTTCTGGCGAACGCCATTGTATCGTGCAGCCCGCTCGTTCGTTTCCACGTTCGCAATCGCGATACATCCTCGTAGATCTTCTTGTCAATTCGCCGAAAAGTATTCTCTCTCGCCGTGCTGGCTGTTTGAAATTCTGCAGCCGACCCGACGATTCCGCGCGATAAATGCGCGCGCGCACGCACGCGGTCTGACTCGTTCTCGGTCTCTCTCCGAGGAATTCGAGGAAAAACGCGAGGAAGACTCTCGTCCGGAGAGCTCGACTCGAAATGAATTTTCTCGATCTACCGGCGAATTAGTCTCCATTGTCGTCGCGGCGGCGAATCGCTTGCGGGGGCGTGATTTCGAACGGCGCGCGTCCGCGGCACTCGCTCTCGTTCATTCGATCGCCACATAAATCCGCGCACGACTACTACACACCGACAGTAAATTCGATTGTCCGCGACATTCCCGCACGGTTTTCACCGCGCTCTGCTTTTTCTCTCCTCGAGCGGACCGCTTCGCGCGCGGGACAGTTTTCGCTTTGTCGTCGTCGTCGTCGTTTCCTTCGTCCTCCTCGTCCTTCATCGCCGCTCGTCGTCGGTGCAGCCGGAGTTCCGTTCAGAGGTATGCGGCGCACCTGTCCGTCCGTTATTCGTCTTCAAGGCCTGTAGAGCACTCCGGGGAGACTCGCATCGGAGCACCGGTCCCTCGGAGAGAAACTCGTCTCAAGGCCGCGTCGCGCGTTTTGCAACGCGCTGCGCCGAGAGTGATCCGTCACGGAGCGGCGCAGGTAGGGCGCTTCTCCTTGCTCGGTGACGGCGACGAGAGGGATGCGATGATAATGGTATGCAGCGCCTACTGCTGCTGCTGCGGAAGGACCGTTATCCTCGTGTTCTCACGTCTACGAAGTTTCGAAAGCGTGGGGAGATATACGCGGTTACACGCTTCTGCGATTGTGCGAGGTGACGCGAGCGGTGCTTTAATGCACTGAACGAACGCTGATGGCCAACGTCGTCGTCGTCGTCGTCGTCGTCGTCGTTGTCGTGAGAGTTGGCTTAACGTGAGATTTAGCGGCGAATCTACTCGAGAGTTCCGTCTACCACCGCCTTATATCTCAGATTAGACACGTCCGAAGAAGAATCACGCGGCTTAACGACCGGTCGGACTTACGTGCTCGCTCGGACTTCGGAATATATTCCGGATGAATGAATATTAACAGCTCATTTAATCTCGTTCAGCTCGTTCGGCTCGAACCGTTCGCAGAAATCGCGCGGAAAAAGAAAGAGAGAGAGAGAGAAGAGAATTACAACCTTCGGACGACCTTCGCGAAAGAAGTCGCGAGTAATTGTTCGAGACGTTAATCGCGAATTAAAATTACAGGCGAGTCGCGCGACGCGCTAAACTCCGTCGCTTTCCAATCAGTTCCGAGTGCGCTTTAACTCGACTCAACCCGATACTTAGATTAATCAATTAATTGAAGAGCCGTGCGGTCGCGCGGCGAATTACGCGGGGGTGAGGAGGGGGGGGGAGACGACAACGAGCATTCGCCGTGTCGCGCGGCTACAAGGAGCTGTTCCGTTCGGGTACCGATCGCTCGTTAGTCTCATCCGCACTTTTGGCTTATTCACACGCCGGGATCTCCATTCTCTCGATTTTCACCGAAGGAAATCGCTCCCTCCCTCCTCCGTCTACCGCGCACATCGCGACAATGGTGAAACAGCAGTGAAATCGCGATTTGCGGCACGGCGTGCGTCGCACTCGGTGAATGCTATTCGTGATGGATGACACCGCTTGATGTCCCGCCGGTGTATACGCGCCATTTACGTCACTATTTCTCTCGACTGAGAGAGAGAGAGAGAGAGAGAGAGAGAGAGAGAGAGAAGGAGGGGGGAGAAACGATACTTAATTACGCCGCGCTTTGCCAGTGATTCACGAAACGAGTGAAAGGTGCTTCTCCGCGTCGCGAGTCGCGGCAGGTTCTCTCTCCCGGGAGAGAGAACCGATAAGCATGCAAAGAGAGACGGAGAGACTCGTTGACGAGATTGCTACATTGTTCAAAGTAGCAGCGACCGGTCTCTCTCGCGTAAGGAGCTGTGCTTCGCAAGGACGCGCTCGTCCCGGGGACCCATTTCTCCGCGTTTGACATTTGCCGTCATGAGCGCACCACGTGATTCGCCGCGTGCGAGTCAAATGTCGAAGATATTGCCCCGCAATAAAGGTCGGCCGGATAACGGTTGACCGTTAACAAAAGAGATCAATACGGTTGATAGCGCGCGCTGATATAAATATATCGCGCGATATTCGACGCTTACGCACGTACGTGGCTTGTATGCGTACACGGCGCTCACCTGCGCGTGAGATTGCGGGGACCTCGGCAATTTACGCACCTCGACACGTGAAACTCATTTTCGAGACTGGCGAGTCACCCGCGCGGATATTTGAACAATGATCGCTTCGTGCGCGATTGACAGACGACACGGGGGCAGGGGGGAGGGACGAGTCGCTTAATAAGAAACCTCAAGGAAAATTGGGTTTCACGCGCGTCGTAAATACTCACGTCGTAAAAGCGAAGCTCGCAGTGTTACGTTACGAGCGCGTTACGACCCCTCATGAATCGTTCTATCGGACCGCGTAAATTTCGTCGTCGTGGTCGTCGTTTGAAGTTAATTTCCAATATTTTACATTCCGCGATATATGGCTTCGCGTGTGTTTACGATTAAAGTAACGTGCGATTTATCTCTCTCTCTCTCTCTTCTTTTCCCTCGTCTCCGCCTTTTCTCTTTATCTCTCAGACAAGCGACAAGCATTCCCAATTTGAACTACAAAGGCGACATTAAAAGATACGCGTAGATATTATGCAATATATAAAAGCATTTA